AGGGCTAAGTCAGGATTCTCTTCTACCAGGAAGCCACCTCTGCCATTATGTAACATGTGGCAGAAAGGGGAGAGGCTTTCAACAGATTGTGTGTATTTCCCTCAGTCTCTTCCCTCGCTGCCAGGTATGTGATGCTGGGGGCTTGGTTCCACCCCAGCTGAATGTCTCCATCTTAGCCCTTTCTGTCTGGCCACCTGGGGCTTACCCTGAGTTGTCACCTGAGGGCTGATGCTCAGAGTTGGATCTTACTTTCTCTAATGTAGCAGTCCAACAGGGTCTGCACAGAATGTCTTACATGGGAGACTCTGTTCAGATGGCTTCCAAGAGAGTAAACAGTGTTACAGTCAGCTACCTCTGCCACAACATCTTACAGGTCTTCTGTTTTTTCTCTTCTGGAGTTTGAGTCTTACTGTACTTTCCCTCTACCTCCGTCTTCCTATTTTAAGGTCCATATTCTATTGTGGCACCAGGGATTTGGGGAGAATTGGTTCATATTTACTTTTTGAACAAGTCATGGACATAAGGTATTGAACAAAAGCAAGAGAGGAAACTGGACCTTTTAAAAAAAATGGAACTTTTTACCAGTAGTGGTGTCACAGGCCTCTAATCCCAGCAGTTGGGAGGCAGAGGCAGGCTGATCTCTGTGAGTTCCAGGACAGCCAGGGCATCACTTCGGGTGGGCTGTTATGCAGTGAGTGGAAGGGTGAAGTGCCTTTTGTTTAGACTCTGGAGCAGCAGTTCTCAACTCATGACATGTGGGTTGTGATCCCCTTGCCGGGGGGGGGGGGGTGTCAATGACCAAGACGATTAGAAAACACATATATTCATGACAATAGCATGAAGTTGCAAAGAAAATAATTTTATGGTTGCCATGACCACAACATGAGCTAGTGTGTATTAAAGGGTTGCAGCATTAGGAACCACTGCTCTAGAGAATGACCCTCGACACCACCTAGGCTAGAGCCTGGCCCAAGGCCTTAAACTATCTGTGATTATTTTTAGGAATCAGAACCTAGCTTCTCAAAGGTCCAGAGCTCTTTTTCCCCTCAGCTATCTCGTGTCTCTGAGCTGCTTCCTCTGGCCATGGTTTCATACTGACCTCTTAACCTTGCAATAAAGTGCAATGATCTGTTTCCCAATCCATCTCTTCTGAGTCCTACCTTGCTGATGCTTCTCTTTCAAGAACAGAGAGGTCTTGCTTCCTGTACTGTAGAGGAAGACAGGAGAGAGATCTGAGGAGCGATAAGAACTCCAAAACTGAAGAACTTAGAAGAAAATATGTGTATGAGTGTTTAGCCTGCATGTATGTCTATGAACTATGTATATTACCTGCTGCCTACAGAGGTCAGAAGAGGATATTTATGAGTGCTGAGAATGGAACCTGTGTCCCTTGGAAAAGCAGCCATCTCTGCACCCCAAGAAAATAACTTTTTAAAGTGTAGTCCCATGAATGGATTTGAGTAATAGGACTTTTCTTGCAACATCTGTAGCCACACTACTTTGTGTGTGTGTGTGTGTGTGTGTGTGTGTGTGTCTGTGTGTGTACGCACATGCACACGTGTGCGCATGTGTGTGTGCCTATCCATGTCTGTCTGTCTGTCTCCATCTGTGCCTGACAGTGAGCTGCAGGGTTTCCCCCACACCACTTCAGGGCTGAGTTCAGCTGCACAAAGGGCCTGGGTGTGAAGCCAGGGGTACCAGCACTAATCCTGTTGTCGATCCATCATGTCTGCAGGCTAGATGTGTGTGTTTGGGAGGGAGGGATTGTTAGGCAGTATTTGTTTGTAAAGCCACTTGCTCTCAGATAATACTTGTGCTAACTTCTATTGATGAAGCAGTGTGAGCCCCAGCAAAGTCCTTTCCCAAAGTGTCTTTGAAGCCAAGAGCCCATTGAAGGGAAGAAAGGCCGGGAGAGGGGATTAGTTTGTTCAGCAGCTGTGAATTTCAGTGGGAGGTTGATGAACTCTGAAGTCTTTGTTTAAATTAAAGGAGGGGGAGAAAAAAAAGCCTCTGCTGGAGCAAGAGCCCCACTTGGGGCCCTGAACTAACACAAGGAGAAGTCTGAGCTGCAGGGAGCTGTGTACTGACTGCGAAGACTTTTCCCAAACACTTTCGGAAAAGGTGTTGTGAGAGGAGAAGGGGCGGGGTGGCGGATTAACATGTGAAATGAAGTTTTCACTGACTCCGTGGGGGTAGAAGGCTGTTTTAATGGCACTTTGTTCCCCTATTTTCTCTTCTTGAGCTCTTTAGAGACATTGTTTTGCTAAGACAGGCTTTCTTCCCTCTTCTTTCCAGTCTGAGGGTTGCCTCTATGGGAGCCAACATAAATATTTCTCCTCCAGGAATGTGGGTTAATTAAAAGGAAACGAATGAGTGGAAGCATCCAATCCAGACCTACAATAGGCGAGTGCCCCGGCCTGCCCTCCCTCCCACCACCACCAGCGCTACCATCGTGCCAAGGACGACCCTTTCTCTCTTTGCACTGACCTGCTCCTAAGGCCAAGTGAGGGTGGGATTCTTTTAAAGAAAAGAAAGCCCTGCTTATGTGTAGGCTCACCAGCCAGGGGCAGGAAGGAGACAGTGTTTTGCTCACCCTACCCAGAGTTCTCGTCACTTCTCAGGACCTCCCTCTCCTTCTGTCCTCAGACTGAGACAGATGGGCTCCTCAAGAGCACACAAGAGGAGGGAAGGGGTCTGGGTTGCTGGGCCACGGTTTTTCTCAACGTCAATTTAAATGTGGGCTTTTAAAAAAAAAACAAAACAAAACAAAAAAACCCACATTTGACTAGCTGACCTCAGAGGTGTCTAGTCTTCCCAGTCAGCAGCTCTAGGGTTCTCTGCACAGCCTCAGTGATTTAGTGTAGGACATGAAGCCATGAACTGAGGGACGCTGTATGTTGTTAGCTGTCTCCACTCCAGTGTTTATTGCTTGAACAAAGGCACGAACGAAGGTTTCGTGCATAGGGGGAAGTGGTATTTTCTCTACAGAACGAGGTGTCAACCATTTGGTGACAGACAGTCATCTATGGAAGAAATGACAGCCTGAGGCATTTGGAATCTGACTTTAAAGTTTGTAACATGGAAGCACAATGCTTCAACGCTCATGCCGAGAGTCCTGGAAAATGTAGCTCCATTCTCCAACGTGGAACCTTCATGGTTTTCAGTGGCACTGCTGGGTTTTCTCCTGTACATTATCAAATGTACACTCACAACTGTCGAGCGAGACCTGGGATTAACATGCACTGTTACAAGATTAGGAGAAAGAGAGCTGAGGTGACTCAGGGCACAGGTAAGAACTGAGGGGGAGAGAGAAGAATATCGTTCACTGATAGAGCTGGAAGTGAAGTAGCAAGAGACCCCGAAGGGAAGGGAAGTATGTCCCCTGCTAAAGACAAGAAACACTGCCTCCCACAAAGCTTTAATAGGACCAGAAGATACACAGAGGTCTGACTACGCCACTGTCCTTCTGAATGTCAGGGGCATTTCACTCTTCCAGGGTAGCCCCTGGGGCTTTGGCGTTGTGAGCTCAGCTCTGTACTTTCAGCAGCAGAAGAATACAGTGTAGAATTTGACAGGCTCTGCTCCAGAAATGCTGTGGAAACACACACCCAGGACTAACCCAGGACAAGGAGCAACCATGGGGAAGGTCTGGGCTGGACTTGCTCTTCTGTTCTCCAGATACCCATTTCATAAACAAGTCCCTGCTGGACTGCTCCTCTCCAAGGAAGAAACCTCAGACTCAGAAGCAGCAGAGAGCTCTGGGCTTCCAAGAGAATGCATTAGTGGGAGGTTTATATGGGTGATTTACTAATCCCTGGCAGATTAACCTCAGTCAAATCAAGCTTGCTACTTAGGCCATCAAGGAAGGCTACAGGGAGATGGTATCCTGCCAGAGTGGGAGGGAGGAGAGAGCTTAGAGGTTAAGTTTCTGAGGCTTTCCCCTCAGCATCAGTGAGTTCAGGACCTGGGAGAAGGACCATATATCAGACTGCAATAAATTAAAAAGATTAAGGTTCTGAACATCCTATTAGCAACAGTTTCAGAGTGTGGGGGGGGTCGAGGTGGAGGTTTACTTATCGAGGGAAGCGTCCAGTGTTCTGAATCTGTCTATTTGAGAACCAGGTGTTAGGGCCTGGTTTCTCTTTCCTATGCCCTGCTTTTAGAGGTACAGATCCCAAAACTGGCTTGATTTGCTCATCTTGACTCAGAGGAGCAAAGTTCCCGAGGAGAAGGAGACAAAGTTAGACACTATTGTGAGCAGAAAATGATTGTCAACCTGCCCACTTCAGACCTCTACCACTTCTAGACCCCTTGGGTATGTCTGGAGTATCTTTGGTGTTTAGGAAGGTCACTGCTCGTTGAAGTCTGTCAGTGACATGTCACAGAGGAATAACATTTGGTGTGCTTGTTGGGCTCTGAGGTTTCCTCTTACCCCATATTCAAAGGCTTCTTCCTTTTTGCTTTCTTTCTGTTTTTTTTTTTTTCCAGAAATAGTAGGGAAATGAGAAGACAACGTGTTAGATTCTTGAATAGTCAACAGCGGGGCGGGTGTGTGTGGGGGGCCCGGTGGGGGGGGTGGGGGAGGTCTAGGCCTAGAGTCTCTGACTCGCAGGAGGGAGGTGAAGGCGAGTTAAGATCACATCTTTCCCTGAACCCTGCATATCTGAGAGGGACCCTTCCTAGGCCTGATAACCTAGGTCCAGCATTGGGCGACCACTGGGGTCCGAAGTAGGGTAGGGTGGGGTGAGGAGACTCGTCTGCTTTCGTCGTTTTCTCAGGAACAACTTGCAGAATTTTATAACAGTTTTGAGACCTACTAGTGAGCTACAAAGACCATGCGGATGAATCCGAAAAGTGTCACTCGGTAGAGAGACTGCGGGCTCCCCCTGTCAGGATCTCTGGGCTAAGGAGTGCGAGGTCCCCCAGTCTGGGTTCCTCTATTTCCGGGGTCTCTAAACGAAGCCGAGGACGAACAGGGATGGAGGCAGGAGGGGATACCCTTAGGGGTTCTTTCCGGATTTGTGCGCAGCGCCTCTCGGCGGCCGCTCGGCGCGGCTGCAGAAGTACTTGGTGACCCGCCGGCGGCACTGCTCGCAGCGGACCGCGCAGCACCAGTGAAATTTGCAGTTGCAGCTAGACACGGTCTCCGCGCGGCGCTCCTCCACCGCTAGCCCGCAGTCCCCGCACAGCCGGCGGCAGCTGCGGCGCTCCCAGCGGCCCAGGGCGCGCCCGCGCCGCAGACACTCTCGGCCCTCGGTGCCCAGCAGCCCCAGGGTCTTGTTCTCCAGGCAGTAGTCTGGGGAGTCCTCCAGATGCACCAGCTCGCGTGTGGAGATGGAGCGGAAGGTGTCGGCGATGGCGCCGCGGCCCGCCGCGCTGTTGCCCGCGCCCTGCAGCAGGTCCACCTTGAGCGCCGCGTGATACTTCTCCTTCAGGTGCGCGCCCACCTCCCGGAACTCTGGCAGCTGCAACCAGCAGGTCTGCGTGGTGCAGCTGCCGGACACGCCGTGGCACTTACACGTGCGTTTCATGGTGCCCTTGACCGCCTGGGGGAGAAAGCATCACGTAAGCGGCCCCAGGCTGGAGCAGTTGCAAGGCGCCTAGCTAGCGAGTGGCCAGATGATTGGGTAAAGCCTGTGAAAGAACCCAAACGTGGAAACTGGTAGTGGATGGAGCCAGCTGCCTGGTGCAAAGTGCTTCGGGACTCACCTTGCGGCCGGCCTCATTGTTGTGCAGATTCATGGCTGCCCGGGCATCCTGTCCTGTCTCTAGGGCATCCACAAACTGCTTGGAAATTGCCTCTCCGAAGCCTACGTTGTCACTGCAGCCTCCCCAGAGCCAGCCTTGACCTCCTGAAAAGGCGGGAGCAGGAAAAGTCACTGAGTCCAAAGTTTCCTGAGCTCGAGTTTCTAATTGGATGAGGTGGGGGTGGGAAGGGTTAAAGTTGGGTGAGTATTCTGTTTCTGGATTGGTTTCAATCTTGTTTTTGCCACCTTGTCTGTCCTCTTTCAGCTTGAGCCAATCCCCTGCTCAAGCCTTCATGACATAGCTAGCTGTCACGTGTCCGCCCTTGTGCTCCTCTTGGAGAATGCACATGCTGTGTCCGGAAGGTGGGCGGTTGAAGTCTGAGAAGGGACAAGAGTTCACCTTTGAGAGAGGAAGAAGGACCTAACTGAAGTAATATGGATCGGAAATTGAGTGACAGAGCACAGAGGTTGGGGAAGGTGTGGAAAAGCATGGGGTGGGGGCCAACCGAGGATAAAGCAACAGGAAAGGCAGTCTTCTGGGACAGACAGATGACTGAGTCTGCACACAATTCCATTATCACTGTTAAGGAAGCCGCTGGGAGAACAGGCAGGGTTGTCACTGGAACTGGCTCACTCTCTTTCAGCATAATTCCCCTCATAATTAGAAGAAGATGTTTTTTATTCCTCCAAGTTCCGAACACCATGCTTTTCGTTGTGTAAGTGAACTTCCCAGCCTGCCTGTGCCCCTCAGTTCCCTCCCTGCCCCCTCCATTTCTACTCACCCAGTTGTCCATTTCGGGAGTCATCGCAGCCACAGTTGTCAAAATCTCCAAGGCTGCAGTTTCTAGTCAGGGTGTACATTACTCCAGCAGAACTGATGGCATGTACGAACGCCGTCTCCCGGTTAGCTGGGGGAGCCAATCCTCAAGGGTTAGAAGAGGTTGCAGTCCCTTACGGCAACCTTATATACCCCTCCCAGCCCTACCTGTCCCTCCTGTGTCATGTAGCTTTTCCTCTTCCAGGATCTGTCCCTTCCCTGGGCTTGGCCCTATTCTCTTTCCCTCCCATCTTTTCAAGTCACACATTGAAGTCCAGAAATCCTGCAGTCAGCTTCAAAAGCTCCTCAGATGGGCAGACTTCCCACTATGGTTTGCTTTCTGTGGTAACCTGGTCTCCAGGTTTCTCCTGGCTCAGCACCTCTCTCTAAGCCCCTGGGAGGAGGAAGTTAGCAGGGTGAGGATGTATGGCCCTAACCTACATCTCTGTATTACTTAGATCTGGACAAAGCCTTTAGCCAACTGGGCAACCAAAGACAGCACAGGACTGGATACGGGGCAAAGTGTACTGAAGGGAGAGGGAGGGAGGAGGGGAGGGAAGGAAGGAGGGAGGGAGGGAGGAAAAAATATAGACAGGAAACAAGGGACAAGGAAGAAGGGATCTCAGGAGAGAGTGATATCCTGAGCAGAGACGGGGTGAAAGTTGAGGATACAGAGGAGGAGGGAGCCCAGGCTCTGGCCAGGACTCCTGGAACCGAGGTCAAGGCTTTCCTTACCGCTCCGGAGTCCACCATGGCTGGACAGCTGTAGAGCTCTCTCAGGGCAATTCCAACGATCCCAAGCAAACTGGTATTTACATTCTTCAATACCACTCTGGGCACCAGCTGCCACGCTGCTGGAGTAGACCAGGTAAGCCTACAGGAATATGGGCTCAGAAGTTTAACCTCAGCTTAGGAGACGTTTGCCCCACACTGGCCAAGCAGCTCTCTTGCTGTCTACTCTGTCGGCCTTGTACTAATGACTGAGAAAGCAGCCTACATACGCCGTCTCACTTAACAGTCCCGGCGGAGAGGACCACTGTGCAGGTCAGGACACTAAGGTGTAGAGAAAAGAGGCCCAGGGCCTCACATCAGCAGACGGCGACCGGAGGAGCTGCATTTGGTTTCTGCCAAACTTAGTACCCACCAGTCTTCAATCATTATACCAAACTGTCTCTCTAAAATGAGCTGCCATCACACAGTTGTTGAAATTTCAGGTGCTTGGTGTACCCCACTGCTAACTAAGGATTGGTACCCTGGGAATGCCTTTTGTGCAGAGGCCATGGCATGCAATTCCCAGATGTTAGAGGGGACACTGCACAGAGAATGGTGTGGGGCCGTGCCTGTCAAAGTTGGTGACTTTCCTGCCTCGGGACATTCCAGACATGAATTCAGTAACAGTACACCCAAGTTCTCCTCTGGCCTCTGACCGTTTGCTGAGTGGCTTGAATCAAGTCCCCATCCGTGCTGTATACTGCAGCGTGTAATGCTGTAGATACAATGTAATGCTGTAGATACGTGTAATTTGTAGATACAATGAACCCAACACCTTCACACAACAAGTTAAGACCAGTGACATCCAAGTTAATCAAAGACTTTTCCCTTACCTTTGGACCGGTCATCAGAAAATTGTTCACTGACCTAGAAGGAAGAGAGGGCAGCACAGTAGAGAGACACCAGTTTGTTTCTGCTCCCAAGAGCCACAGAGATATTTCCACAATATCATTGAGACAAAGGCAATTCGTTTTCATAAGAAACGGTACACTTTTTACCAGGCTAATAAAGATAACCTGCTCAGGACCAGCCTGCCGACTCAGTGAGTAAATGTGCCTGCTGCTGAGCCTGACGACTTGAACTCAGTCCCCAGAACCCACATGGTAGGAGAGAGCCAGCCCCTCCTGCAAGGGCCCTCGGATCCCACTCATATGGTATAGTGCACGCGCTGGCACCAACACATGTGGATACCCCAAATAAATAAATTTTAAAATCATTAAAAATTTAAAAGATAATCCATTTACTTCATAAAGACTAAGAGTCCAAAGCAGGATATTTCTTTAGATTAAAAAAAATTAAGTGTATGAGTGTTTGCCTGTCTATGTTATGCACACCACTTAACCTGAGAAGCCCCAAAGAGAAATCGGACCATTAGAACTGGAGTTAAGTTATGGAGTTCTAAGCTACCCTATGGGTGCAGGGAGCTGTACCCATGTCCTCTGAAAGAGCAACCAGTGCTCCAAACCACGAAATCATCTCTCTGGCTCCATTTCCTTGGAATTTTAAAGTCACTTATAGTTTACAGCATCATAAAAGTATAATGTTATAGCTTTCAATACCATAAAAAAAGAATACTGTTTGATTATTGTTTTTGCCACAGGTTGTAGACAGAGCTAACATTAACTCTTGGTATCAGACACTATCCAGCTTTTCACACACAGCTCTTTTAAATCATTTCTGCCCCAGATATTACTATCTCTATTTTGTCCATGGGAGTCCAGGGGAGCCCACTAACTACGTGTTGAGGTTCATCCAGTTGATAACTGAAGAAGTGAGATCTGAACCCAGGCTTGGCTGTCTCTGCGGGAGTGTGGGTAGATGCCTGTCTAATGGAAGAGGTAAACGGTGGAATATCTGTCCAGGGTTTCAGTAATTGGATCCCAAATAAAGCCGAATCTGAAAAGTAGCTTGGTCTCTGCTTCTTACAGACGAAATGTAGACCTACTGTGTGGTTCAGGGGCTTCACTCTTCCGTCTTTATCCCAGAGAAATGAAGATCTTTTAACTTAGGAATTTGAATATGTGTGACCTTCTGAGTGTGAAAGTTAAAACTGTAGGCTTTGCTGGGCTTGAAGGTGCTCTCTTGTAATCCTCGCACTTGTGAGGTGGCAGCAGGAGGGTCAGGAGTTCAAGGCTAGCCTTGGCTGCATAGCTAGTTCCAAACCAGTCTGGGCTACTCAAGACTATCTCCAACTAACAAAACCCCTGTAGCTCTGCTTACCACACACAAGGTCACTGAGTCCAACACTAACAACAATAAGCATCCTCATAAATGACAACAAAAATCAAGTATGAAAAACAAAAGAGCTGGGCGGTGGTGGTGCACACCTTTAGTTCCAGCACTCGGGAGGCAGAGGCAGGTGGATTTCTGAGTTCGAGGCCAGCCTGGTCTACAGAGTGAGTTCCAGGACAGCCAGGACTACACAGAGAAACCCTGTCTCGAAAAACCAGAAAAAAAAAGAAAGAAAGAAAAGGAAAAAAAACCAAAAAACAACAAACTGGCACGTGAACCCAAGGGAATACCACTCAGCAGTACTAAAATCACAAGTACTTGGATAAATCTCAAGGAAGTTAGAGTAAAGTCTATTTTAGGCTGCAGTGATGGCTCAGTCATCCGTGTGAATAGGAAGATGGGCGTGGCTGTTAAGAGTCATGATCCTTGGCGATGGTAAGATTAATTGTCTTAACTCTGGTGCTGATTACACAGGGGTAGAGGAATGGTAACTCTGCATCAGCATCTCTCTCTCTCACGAATATTTGAGGCTGGAGGTTTGGTAAACTGGTGTCTGAATAAGTTTACTATGTAAAAACTGTAAGATGGAAATATTGTGGACTGTTGGGGAAAGAGCTCAGAAGCTTCCTGAATGTTTCTTTGCAACATTTGCAGATCTACAGTTACACAAAAATTTAAATAGATATATGATCAGCAGTCTTGGAGACTTGGAGAAAGAGTTCGAAGTAGACATGTTCATCAAAATATTTTACCTATTAGCTTTCCAACAGAGAAAAGGAACGCGGGAACTCTTATGGACTTGCCCTGAAGGTTGGTGTCCCCTTGTAATTCTGAAGGCTGAGAAGGTGGTAAGCATCAGGAAAGGAATGGGAAACCAAGTAGATAAAGTCCCTCTCTGATTGGTGGCCAAAAGGATTTGGTAGACTCTTCCCATGAGACGCAACATCCAAAATGTGGGTGGCTTTGAAAAACAGCATTAGCAGATTGTCGAGCATCCATAGGAAATGATGGAGATTTTGAAAGAGGAAAACAAACAAACAAACAAACAAACAAACAGAAAAACCACAAAAAGGAAGGCCTGCCTGTTGGAACTTGGCAGACGGAGCCAGGTCAACCGAAACAAGCCTGTGCTCTACTGAGGGAGCTGTACCAGAGAACTCACAAGGAAATTCAAGACGACTTGAATGAGTTCACAATTGGTGCCAGAGATAACAGAAAAGGCAAGGAGCTTACTCTGACTCCACAGAGCAATCTTTCCATTTGGAATAACTCAAAGCTAGACATTACCAGACCAGATGGGACAGTTACCATTTTACAGAACAGACGTTACTGGGGGAACAAAGAATGAAGCAGCAGATAACAGTGAGCAAAGCTTTGCCAAGGCTGAGCCTGGGTCAAGATTCTCTCTATGAAAAGTCTAATGAAGGACAATGGGGGAGTAAGGGATAGAGGACCTGGGAGGATTTCCTTTCCTAAGGAGCCCATAGTATGGAGAGATTTGTGTGACATGCGTGTCTGCTGAGCCAATTACAGTGACAGGTTTAACTGAGCAGCTGTCATGGGACAAGACTGTGGGTCTTATTCAGACATCCCCATGATGATGTTATTTGTCCATGTGACTGCTCTACTTGTATGTACAATATCCAACTGTATCCCTGTGGCAAGCAGGGAGTCTTAGTTCTGACGGATGAGACAGGGACATGGTGGCCTTTGAGCCAGTAGAAACAAAGACAGCAGATGACACAGCGAGAGCTGTCAGAGGATAGAGAGAGAATGGAGAGAGAGAAAACATTTTAGTGTTGCTATGGGCTGGGTGCCATCTAGAGACAGCCACAGGATTGAAGAGAAGACGCTGCTTCTAACACGTGGAGATGCAATGTCTGTTTAATAAACAGCACCTTCTCTATGAGTGTGGCATGATGTCTACGCTCAGATGGCGGTACACTTTCCCATTCCCACAGGGATATACAGTTGCCACTGCCGCCGCCCAGACTGAGTACCAGTCAAAGGGTTTTTACATTTACTTGGACCTTCCCAACTCCTCTCAGACCTTTTTGTTCAATCTCAGACTTGTGCAATCTTGATCTGGTAGGATCCTGCCTACCTTGCCTCAAAATGAACTCTCGCTCTGTTGCTACCTGCTCCTACTCCATCTGTGATCTCCTGGGCGGGTCTAGCATTTGTGATACCACCCTGGGAGCCAAAACAGTTTAACTAATTCACTGATACAGGTGTGCAAATGGCCAATGAGCACATAGAAAGATGCTGAGTGGCATGAGTCATCTAAGAACATGAATCACAAGAGTCTCTGGCCCCTACAGTAGCTAGACTGAAATAAGAAGATGGATGTGGTAGGCTACACCTTTGAAACCCACTCAGGAGGCAGATGCAGAGGACCTCTCTGAGTTCAGTGGCAGCCTGCTGTACATAGTGAGTTCCAGACATCCAGGGCTACAGAAAGTGACTGTCTCAAAAATGAATGAATGAATGAATGAATGAATGAATGAAATACTGATAAAAACTCAAAGCAGCCAGAATCCTCTTATGTTGCCAGTTAGATTATTAAAAAAATAAAAGTGCATGCAATTGTTTAGCACTTCCTCCTTGGGTTAAATATGACACAGCAGTTCTCCTGGGCAGACATATATGCAACAAAACATATACACTTACTGTTCATAGCAGTATTAATTAGAATACTCCAAACCTAAAACTGCCCAAATGTCTAGCAGCTATATCCACCGTAGAATGTTAGCTAACCATAAAAGGAAATGAAGTATTGAGCATGCTCCAACACAGAATAACGTCACTTTCTAAGTAAAAGAACCCAGTAAGATAGGGTCTCACTTTGTAGTCCAGGCTGCCCTTCCCTTCTAGAAGCATACACACACACAGGTTCTGGGAACTACCAGATCCCCTCATAACTGATACTATTCACACTGGTTCTCATGTAGACAAAGTAGAAATGAACGAGGCGGTTGTATGGGAGAATATATGGAACTATATGGAAACTACACTTTTTGCTCAATTTTTCTCTAATTTTTTTTTCTAAAAATTGTGTGTTGATTTTTTAAAGGTAGGGACAAGTGTTTTATCCTCCCTGGAGTTTAATATTACTGTGTGAGTTTCTACACTGTCATTTCTGCAGAAGGGTATTAAGGAGGTTGGCTCGCAGTTTGGCCAAGATGTGCCTCAGTCACCTCAGAGCCCCTGCAAAGAAAGGGGAATTCAGAAAACGGTGTAAATGGAGCCTGTGATGACTGCTGTTTTCTTCTTGGGAGCGCAGGGGCCTCCTCAGCATGGGCAATGCACAGTCAGCCTTGGCATGTAGCCTACTATCAACTCATGTGTACTCAGCCTTGTCCAACCCTACAATGACAGTGGAGAAGCACCCAAGGCTGCCTGACTAGAGAAGCCCCTAAGGCTTGTTATCACCTAGGCCTCTGGCAGGATCCATTGACTTCAAAGTGCACCCAGGGATACCTGGGTCTCCCAGATTAACACAATAATTCCTCAGGAGATTCTAGCTCTGTCAGTGTCAAAGGTGCCTGAGGTGGCTTCGGTGACAGCATCTTTCCCAGATGGCCATGTGGTTTCACTGAACCCCAGGGTGGGAGGGCGGGAGCAAACACTGCTCT